TACCATTTCTACAATGTTTTGTGGAATAGTATCATTTCTACAATGTTTTATGGAATAGTATCATTTCTACAATGTTTTGTGGAATAGTATTATTTCTACAATGTTTTGTGGAATAGTATCATTTCTACAATGTTTTGTGGAATAGTATCATTTCTACAATGTTTTGTGGAATAGTATCATTTCTACAATGTTTTATGGAATAGTATTATTTCAATACAATGTTTTGTGGAATAGTATCATTTCTACAATGTTTTGTGGAATAGTACCATTTCTACAATGTTTTGTGGAATAGTATCATTTCTACAATGTTTTATGGAATAGTATTATTTCAATACAATGTTTTGTGGAATAGTATCATTTCTACAATGTTTTGTGGAATAGTACCATTTCTACAATGTTTTGTGGAATAGTATCATTTCTACAATGTTTTGTGGAATAGTATCATTTCTACAATGTTTTGTGGAATAGTATCATTTCAATACAATGTTTTGTGGAATAGTATCATTTCTACAATGTTTTATGGAATAGTACCATTTCTACAATGTTTTGTGGAATAGTATTATTTCCATACAATGTTTTGTGGAATAGTATCATTTCTACAATGTTTTGTGGAATAGTATCATTTCTACAATGTTTTGTGGAATAGTATCATTTCTACAATGTTTTGTGGAATAGTACCATTTCTACAATGTTTTGTGGAAAAGTATCATTTCTACAATGTTTTGTGGAATAGTACCATTTCTACAATGTTTTGTGGAATAGTATCATTTCTACAATGTTTTGTGGAATAGTATCATTTCTACAATGTTTTGTGGAATAGTATCATTTCTACAATGTTTTGTGGAATAGTATTATTTCAATACAATGTTTTGTGGAATAGTATCATTTCTACAATGTTTTATGGAATAGTATTATTTAAATACAATGTTTTGTGGAATAGTATCATTTCTACAATGTTTTGTGGAATAGTACCATTTCTACAATGTTTTGAGGAATAGTATCATTTCTACAATGTTTTGTGGAATAGTATCATTTCTACAATGTTTTGTGGAATAGTATTATTTCAATACAATGTTTTGTGGAATAGTATCATTTCTACAATGTTTTATGGAATAGTATTATTTCAATACAATGTTTTGTGGAATAGTATCATTTCAATACAATGTTTTGTGGAATAGTATTATTTCTACAATGTTTTGTTGAATAGTACCATTTCTACAATGTTTTGTGGAATAGTATCATTTCTACAATGTTTTATGGAATAGTATTATTTCCATACAATGTTTTGTGGAATAGTATTATTTCAATACAATGTTTTGTGGAATAGTATCATTTCTACAATGTTTTGTGGAATAGTACCATTTCTACAATGTTTTGTGGAATAGTATCATTTCTACAATGTTTTGTGGAATAGTATCATTTCTACAATGTTTTGTGGAATAGTATTATTTCAATACAATGTTTTGTGGAATAGTATCATTTCTACAATGTTTTATGGAATAGTATTATTTCAATACAATGTTTTGTGGAATAGTATCATTTCAATACAATGTTTTGTGGAATAGTATTATTTCTACAATGTTTTGTGGAATAGTACCATTTCTACAATGTTTTGTGGAATAGTATCATTTCTACAATGTTTTATGGAATAGTATTATTTCCATACAATGTTTTGTGGAATAGTATTATTTCAATACAATTTTTAGTGGAATAGTATCATTTCTACAATGTTTTGTGGAATAGTACCATTTCTACAATGTTTTGTGGAATAGTATCATTTCTACAATGTTTTGTGGAATAGTATCATTTCTACAATGTTTTGTGGAATAGTATCATTTCAATACAATGTTTTGTGGAATAGTATCATTTCTCCAATGTTTTGTGGAATAGTATTATTTCTACAATGTTTTGTGGAATAGTATCATTTCTACAATGTTTTGTGGAATAGTATTATTTCTACAATGTTTTGTGGAATAGTATCATTTCTACAATGTTTTGTGGAATAGTACCATTTCTACAATGTTTTGTGGAATAGTACCATTTCTACAATGTTTTGTGGAATAGTACCATTTCTACAATGTTTTGTGGAATAGTACCATTTCTACAATGTTTTGTGGAATAGTATTATTTCAATACAATGTTTTGTGGAATAGTATCATTTCTACAATGTTTTGTGGAATAGTACCATTTCTACAATGTTTTGTGGAATAGTATCATTTCTACAATGTTTTGTGGAATAGTACCATTTCTACAATGTTTTGTGGAATAGTACCATTTCTACAATGTTTTGTGGAATAGTACCTTTTCTACAATGTTTTGTGGAATAGTATCATTTCTACAATGTTTTGTGGAATAGTACCATTTCTACAATGTTTTGTGGAATAGTACCATTTCTACAATGTTTTGTGGAATAGTACCATTTCTACAATGTTTGGTGGAATAGTATATTATTTCAATACAATGTTTTGTGGAATAGTATCATTTCAATACAATATTTTGTGGAATAGTATCATTTCAATACAATGTTTTGTGGAATAGTATCATTTCTACAATGTTTTGTGGAATAGTATCATTTCTACAATTTTTTGTGGAATAGTATCATTTCAATACAATGTTTTGTGGAATAGTACCATTTCTACAATGTTTTGTGGAATAGTATCATTTCTACAATGTTTTGTGGAATAGTATCATTTTTACAATGTTTTATGGAATAGTATTATTTCTACAATGTTTTGTGGAATAGTACCATTTCTACAATGTTTTGTGGAATAGTACCATTTCTACAATGTTTTGTGGAATAGTATTATTACTACAATGTTTTATGGAATAGTATTATTTCAATACAATGTTTTGTGGAATAGTACCATTTCAATACAAAGTTTTGTGGAATAGTACCATTTCTACAATGTTTTGTGGAATAGTATTATTTCTACAATGTTTTGTGGAATAGTATCATTTCAATACAATGTTTTGTGGAATAGTACCATTTCTACAATGTTTTGTGGAATAGTACCATTTCTACAATGTTTTGTGGAATAGTATCATTTCTACAATGTTTTGTGGAATAGTATCATTTCTACAATGTTTTGTGGAATAGTATCATTTCAATACAATGTTTTGTGGAATAGTACCATTTCTACAATGTTTTGTGGAATAGTATCATTTCTACAATGTTTTGTGGAATAGTACCATTTCTACAATGTTTTGTGGAATAGTACCATTTCTACAATGTTTTGTGGAATAGTATCATTTCTACAATGTTTTGTGGAATAGTATTATTTCTACAATGTTTTGTGGAATAGTATTATTTCTACAATGTTTTGTGGAATAGTATTATTTCTACAATGTTTTGTGGAATAGTACCATTTCTACAATGTTTTGTGGAATAGTATTATTTCAATACAATTTTTTGTGGAATAGTACCATTTCAATACAATGTTTTGTGGAATAGTACCATTTCTACAATGTTTTATGGAATAGTATTATTTCTACAATGTTTTGTGGAATAGTATCATTTCAATACAATGTTTTGTGGAATAGTACCATTTCTACAATGTTTTGTGGAATAGTATCATTTCTACAATGTTTTGTGGAATAGTATTATTTCTACAATGTTTTGTGGAATAGTATCATTTCAATACAATGTTTTGTGGAATAGTACCATTTCTACAATGTTTTGTGGAATAGTACCATTTCTACAATGTTTTGTGGAATAGTATCATTTCTACAATGTTTTGTGGAATAGTATCATTTCTACAATGTTTTGTGGAATAGTATCATTTCAATACAATGTTTTGTGGAATAGTACCATTTCTACAATGTATTGTTGAATAGTATCATTTCTACAATGTTTTGTGGAATAGTATTATTTCTACAATGTTTTGTGGAATAGTATCATTTCTGCAATGTTTTGTGGAATAGTATCATTTCTACAATGTTTTGTGGAATAGTATCATTTCTACAATGTTTTGTGGAATAGTATTATTTCTACAATGTTTTGTGGAATAGTATCATTTCTACAATGTTTTGTGGAATAGTATCATTTCTACAATGTTTTGTGGAATAGTATCATTTGTACAATTTTTTGTGGAATAGTATCATTTCAATACAATGTTTTGTGGAATAGTACCATTTCTACAATGTTTTGTGGAATAGTATCATTTCTACAATGTTTTGTGGAATAGTATCATTTCTACAATGTTTGTGGAATAGTATCATTTCTACAATGTTTTGTGGAATAGTATCATTTCTACAATGTTTTGTGGAATAGTATCATTTCTACAATGTTTTGTGGAATAGTATTATTTCTACAATGTTTTGTGGAATAGTATCATTTCTACAATGTTTTGTGGAATAGTACCATTTCTACAATGTTTTGTGGAATAGTACCATTTCAATACAATGTTTTGTGGAATAGTATCATTTCTACAATGTTTTGTGGAATAGTATCATTTCTACAATGTTTTGTGGAATAGTACCATTTCAATACAATTTTTTGTGGAATAGTACCATTTCTACAATGTTTTGTGGAATAGTATTATTTCTACAATGTTTTATGGAATAGTATCATTTCTACAATGTTTTGTGGAATAGTACCATTTCTACAATGTTTTGTGGAATAGTACCATTTCTACAATGTTTTGTGGAATAGTATCATTTCTACAATGTTTTGTGGAATAGTATTATTTCAATACAATGTATTGTTGGATTGTATCTTTTTTGTACTTGTTTATATCACTGCATACGGCAGAAACTTCATTGAGGTGCAGAAGGATTTTTTTCAGGACGTCAGGATAGGAGGGTCTTTAATTTTGGTCGAATTCACGATTTACACTTATCAGGAATTAATGATAAATTTTTGAAGTTTTAATTTGGAACATTAAAGCAAATTGTAAAACAATATTTTCTTTTTGTAATAAATTTGATGGGGTTTAGGGGCATCATAGAAAAATCCTGCTATTTAATTATACTATGAATTTTTTTTATTATCTTTGTTACAGTTACCAATCAGCCTACAGAAGCTATGATACAACATTGTGGTTCTGACATGTATTTATACACCCCTGGGGAAACAGCCAATAGTGAGACCAGTACAGGGACAGACACTACTGGAGTACTTTTGAACAGAGACACAGCGGAATCATGTGATATGGACTCTGAAAGTAAAACTATTAACCTAAATACACAAATAAATTCTAATGATAAGAAAATAGAATGCCAGGAAAATGGAACCAATAATACAATCCATCACCATGATCACAACAAAGTCATAAAAAGATCAGATTTAGTGAAAGGAAAGGGACGTTTTTTTACTGTAGAAAACAATACGTTCAGATGTTTGTTATGTGGAAAAAAATTCTATCTTTATTTCCAATATGAAAATCATGCATTAAGAAAACATTTTCCATTTTCATGTATTTTATGTGATTTCTGTTTTCAAACAAAAGCAGATGCAATGTCACATAAACCATGCACAACATCACATACCACATGTGAAACGTCACATACCACATGTGAAACGTCAACTACCCCAAATACATCGTCAAATACTCTGTGCAAAACAAAGCAACATAGATGCTCAGTTTGTAAAAAGACTTTTCAGAAGGCAATTGATTTACTGAAACATTGTAATACTTGTGTGTATGTGAGTGGTAGAGGGAATGTGAAGGTGCGGAAGGATAATAGGTTAACCAAGAAAACAAGTCATACTTTTCACAAGACAATGTCCGGAAAGACGTTCGATGAAAGTGATATCGCACCAGTAGAGTTAACCGAGAAAACATATCATAGAAAAGAAGTGATCTTAGTTGACCATGTTGACAATCAAGTGGAAACTAGCTTGCCAAAATCAAAGAAGAAAAACACTATTGCTATATCTACTTGTCAAACAGGGCATGATAGCACATACAGTGATCCAGAACTAGAACAGACGGAACATAATAATGACTGTGTTTATGATAGTGGAAGGGGCAAAGTGAATGTTAAAGATTTCAAGCAGGAAGTAGAATACTTTGAAGCTTCTGCGAGAAAATCACAAAGAATTAATCACAAGAGGAAACTAGAAGAGACCGAAGAACAGTGTTGGGAGGCTGATAAATTTAACAAATACCAAAAAAGTTTAAACAAGTTGGTGACACAGTTTACATTTAGTAAAAATGTACATTACACAGTACTCATAACAGGTTCTTACAAGTGTAAAATTTGTAGTGAAAATTTTAAATGTTTACCATCATTTTCATGTCACGCTAGATCCAAGCATTTCCCTTTTCAGTGTTCTATCTGTCAAGCTTTTTTTGCAACAATGGATGGTCTGATACAGCATAACAAAGGATGTATATACGTAATGGGGAAGGGATATTGCTGTACAATGTGTAGAAAAGTATTTCCAGCTCAGAATAAACTTGTAGCTCATACTCAACTAAACCACATAGTATACATCTGTTTCAAATGTAACTGTGAGTTTGAAAATCAAAGGAAACTTGATTTGCATAGTCAGACTTGTCGGAAAATAAGAATTAAAGTGTTGTAACCATGGTAACTAACTTTTTCACAACAACATGTGTAAATATCCAAGTTATTTTATTCTTACACACTATAGATTCATTATTATTCCTCCAATACCAATTTTTTGTGGATTTCATTGTTATAGGGTATAACTACGAATTTAAACATTACAAATTTTCTATTGGCTTGTACAAATGTATGCAGACATAGCGAACCTATGAACGTGATGAATTCAAGTATCCTTGAAATTACAATTTTTCCTTTTTCCATGAAAATTGGTACCCATAGAAATAAGATTCACAATATATGTGAAAAGTAAATTTGAATATCTGAAGACCATGGACATGATGGATGGTAATGTATTTCTAAGAAAAGAGTATATTGTAATTTTATATTATGTTTTTCATTGGAATTACTAGCAGATGAAATGATGAATACAAAAATTGTATTTTCATGATTATTTGTTGACCAGTGGTTGCTATTCTTTTATGAAAAATACTAGGCCCGTATGCATAAAACCACTTAAGTCAGAAATCCAATCATAGTACTAATTTATCGTAGGACATGTAGAAAAATCTGTCCGTTCGGAACAAATCTTAACTTAAGTAGCTTTATCCATATGGGCCCAGGTACATTTGTACTTAATTTCTTAACATTTTATACCATGCTTTGTTAGGCTGTTACACTGATGTCCAAGGTTAAGGAAACAGTTGAACGCTCACAAACATGTGCCTGTTACAATTAAGGAGCCTGTTGGTTGTCCTTGGTTACTGTCTGTCATATTTGTTTGTTGTTAATTGTTTTGTCATAAATCTGTCTGTTTTTTTTTCGTTTTTTTTTCACATTTTATCATATCAGGGCCCTTTTATAGCTGACAAGATAGTAACCGTGTTGTTCATTGTTGAAGGCCATACATGGGTTGATCTATAGTTTACTACATCCACCTCATTTATACAATTCTTGCCAGATTTTTATGAAACTTATATCATAGGTTTATATCAACAATGTCTCGGACGAGTTCAAAAATCAGTATTGATCAATTATTTTCAAAAGAGTTATGCCCCTTGGAAATATTGATTGTATGGAAAATTGCATTGTTAGCGCTCTCATGTGATCAATTCTTGCCAGATTTTATGAAACTTATATCATAGGTTTATATCAGCAAGGTCTGATCGGAAGTAAGTGCTGATCAAATATTGTTTAGGAGTTATGCCCCTTGGAAATATTAATTGTATCAGAAATTACATTGCATTTGCTCTCAAGGCCTTCATTTATCTAAAATTTTTAAAAAAGTTTGAACAAAATTAATTATTGCCCTAGCCCTTTGACCTTGGACAGATAAAATATGTGCAACCCGGGGGACATTGGAATTCTGTTCTTTTATTATATTTGTTAAAGTACAGTCAATTTGGTATTACTTAAAAAAATAAAAGATTTGTTTTCTTGTTATTGATACTGTAGTCAAAAGTTATTTGTTATGCTTTCAGTTTAAAAAAAGTATCAAGTGTTTTATTTGCTGTATTTAAATCTAAAGTTTAATAAAAGATATCATCCCCAAGTACAACCACTGACTTCATTTGAACTCTGGTGGATAGTTGTCTGATAAGCAATCATACCACATCTCCTTATTTTTATACTGTATTCCACCCAAACCATTTTTAGAGAAAAAAAAGAAAAAAAGCCTTTTTATGATTTCACTTTTCTTAATTCATATATATATATATGTGTAATATATTGTAAATGTTTTGAAATATATCTTAATGACTTTATATTATTAAAAACCAAAGAAATATATAGTTGCTAGTGATTGCTGAATTCAGTACATATCTAATTATTATAATAATTTTGATATTAACAAAATAATAATATGAAATTATAATACCATTAAAGTAAGAAAAGTTAGAAATGCATGATAGTGTTATTAATAAAGGCCCTGTAATGGCTCGTATCAGAGGAGTTGCGATGACAAAGTGTTGCAGTAGTATATTTTGGCCAAAATTAAGTTCAATGGGGCACAACTCCTAGAAAGAAAATTGAATTGTAATTTTCTGTCGATATGCACATCTACATAATATGTCCTTATAATCGACAAAGTTTCATGAAATTCTGTTGTGTGGTTTGAGAGGAGTAAATGAGATGACAAACTGTTGCAGTAGTATATTTAGGCCAAAATTCTAAGTTCAAAGGTTATAACTCCTAGGAAAAAATTGAATCATAATTTCCTGTCAATATGCACATCTACATAGAATGTCCTTATTATCTACAAAGTTTCATGAAATTCTGTTGTGTGGTTTGAGAGGAGTTGAGATGACAAACTGTTGCAGTAGTATATTCAGGCCAAAATTCTAAGTCCAAAAGGGCATAACTCCTAGAAAAAAAATTGAATCATAATTTCCTGTTGATATTCACATCTACACAGCATGTCCTTATTATCACAAAGTTTCATGAAATTCTGTTTTGTGGTTTCAGAGGAGTTGAGATGACAAGAACATGACGAGTGGACAGACAGGTCAAAAACATTATACCAGACGCAACTTCGTGGGGTAAAATAAAGCTATTATATTTTAGTGGGTAGAAGACCTGGATACTTCATACCTTGTATGCAGATACCTTATGTTACAAAGTTTCTGTCTGTCATATGTCCGTTGTCCTTGACCTCATTTTCATGGTTCAACAACTGCTTGACAAAATTTTATAGTTTTTTTTTGTCGTGAATTTCTCACTTATTGCGAGTAATAGGATAACTATATTTGGGTATATGGGTTCCTAGCAATATCTACATGTCCGTCATACAGGGTTCACCTGACTTCAACCTCAATTCATGCATCAGTGATTAGTGTTAAGTTTTCGTGGTCAAGTCTGTATTTCAGATACTGTAAGCAATAGGTCAACTATATTTGGTGTAAGGAATAATTGTAAGGTGTACATGTCTGTCTGGCAGGTTTCATATGACCTTGACCTCATTTTCTTGGTTCATTGGTCAATGCTAAATTTTCATGGTTTTGTCAGTTTATCAGATACTATAAGCATTAGGTCAATAGTGTTCAGTTTGGTGTTTGAAATGAGTATCAACAATGCATGTGTTGTCTTGCTAAGCATATCCGCACAAGTAAATTAAACTTTTGGAAAACAGGAAGTAAGTTTCCGACATCAAAAAAAGTGCTTCCACAATTTAACTTATCACTGAGGAGCTGCGGTCCAAATAGGAAGTCATTGTGTTCAGTCGTACTGGAGATATGTGATGAAACTGTTAAGTTCATTCAACCTATTGAAAAATTCAAAATATAGGCAAACAGGAAGTAGGTGTCTGATAGATCTGAATAATGCTCATATGTTATAACTAAATCAGTGAAAAGCTGACAACCAAATATTAAATCATGTTATTCAGATTTACCAGAGAAAAGTGAGCAGAAAAATTTGTTTGAGAAATGGACTATTAGGACATACGACGGGAATGTAATATAGCCCAAAGCTTTGAGTGAAAGTATAATAAAATAAAAAAACTTCCTAGTTCCATACAATCTTTAAAATGTTGTGAGTATCCCTTGTAACAATTCTAACAATGTGGAGCAGTAGTAAGTGACAATTATCTCCCTTGTCACAATCTTAGCAAATGTCAGCCCCTAGTCACTGATAAGATCTTTATTGGCACTATCTTTAACAAATTTCAGACAATAGTCATGGATAATTATCTCCTTTGTCACAATCTATTAAAGCCATGTCTAACAGCAGGCATTGATACTTCTCTCCCTTGTCACAATATTTAAAATGTCCGACAGCAGTCATGGATAAAGTTCTCCCTAGTCAAAATCTTAACAATTTCATCAAGAAGTTTCTGTTCAGTTTGAGCCAAGGCTCCGTGTTGAAGGCCGTACTTTGACCTATTATTGTTTACTTTTTACACATTGTGACTTGGATGGATAGTTACCTAATTTGGCACTCATACCACTTCTTATTTATATCTGATAGTTATTGCCCTTGTCCCTCGCTAAACAATGTCTGACAGCAGTCATGGATAATTATCTCCTCTAATATATTAATCTTAACAATGTCAGACAACAGTCATTGCTAATTATCTCCCTTGTCTCAATCTTAGCAATGTCCAACAACAGTACTTGATATTTACCTCTCTTGTAAAAATTTAAACAATGTCAGACAACAGTCATTGATAATTATCTCCCTAGTCACAATCTTTACAATACCCGACAGCAGTCATTGATAATCATCTCCCTTGTCACAATCTTAACAATGTCAGACAGCAACCAATGATAATTATCTCCCTTGTCACAATCTAAACAATGTCAGACAGCAGTCATTGATAATTATCTCCCTTGTCACAATCTTAACAATGTCAGACAGCAGTCATTGATAATTATCTCCCTTGTCACAATCTTAACAATGTCAGACGGCAGTCATTGATTATTATCTCCCTTGTCACAATCTTAACAATGTCCGACAGCAGTCAATGATAATTATCTCCCTTGTCAAAATCTCGACAATGTCAGACAGCAGTCATTGATAATTATCTCCCTTGTCACAATCTCAACAATGTCAGACAGCAGTCATTGCTAATTATCTCCCTTGTCACAATCTTTACAATACCAGACAGCAGTCAATGATAATTATCTCCCTTGTCACAATCTTAACAATGTCAGACAGCAGTCATTGATAATTATCTCTCTTGTCACAATCTTAACAATGTCAGACAACAGTCATTGATGATTATTTCCCTTGTCACAATCTTCAAGGGAAAATTCGCGATTTTTTACTTATCATCTTATTATGTTCATAATAAGATAAAAAATAATATTCACCAAGTTTTATCTGGATATGAACACTAATAAAGAAGAAAATTGAAAATTATTAATTTTATTTATTCGAACTTCCTGTCTACTGTGACGTACTATAAACTAATTGCATGCTGGGATTGAAATTGACGTATATACACACATATATGTCTCTGTCTAAACTGAAAAGAATACTAAAGCGGACAAGCAGTATATTCTTTAAATTTCTGTGATTTAATACCAAGAAAGTAAAAAATACAGAAATTAATTTGATACTCAATATGTTTCCTGGAAAATATTCACATCCTCATTCGGTCTGAAAATAAGATATGAATTTGGTATACAGAACATGCAGAAGTGTGAATGTCATAAAACCTTGTTATATCAGAAATATGTATTGAACACCATTATAAATGTGAACCTGTATACATAAGACCTCATGGGACGTCACCTTACCACATACAGGTAATAAACATGTAGCTCTAATGCCCGGAAATGTCAAGGTAAATCACTACCGATACAGAATGTACAAGTGCAAAGTAATTCTGATGATTGTAAAGCATGACCATTTATGAATTTAGAGGAGTCTTGGATGGGGGAACGATTTAAATTCTGACTAGATTTTTTATACGCCCGTTTACGGGACGTATTATGGTATACCGTTGACCGTCCGTCCGTCTGTCCGTCCGTCCGTCCGACCGTCGTCAACATGTCGGACATTAATTCAAAAACGCTTTAACTGATATGCATGACATTGGTGAATTGTTAATATCTATTGATGTGAGCTCCCTTTCGTTTTTTATAAATTTCGTATTTACTGATTCTAAGTTTTGGGGTTTTATTCATTAAAAAAAGGGGGGAATTATCCAGTTTTCGGACATTTTATTTTTATTTATATATAAAACTCAAAAACAATTTCACCAATTTGCATGACACTTTGGTGAATTGTTTATTTCTATCGACATGAGCTCCCTTTTGATTTTTATAAATTTTATACTATAATTTCTGATTTATGAGGTTTTATTCTTTACAAAAA